AATTCATATTTCACTCGCGAGATCAGATTCCATTTCATACCAAACTATGGTGCCTGTTTAGTTTGTAGCTCTAAAAACAATTTTATGTTTTAACTAAAAATAAAAAACTGCACAAAAACTATTTTCTGAATTATTGAGAACTATTTTCAGAGTTACAAATCAAGCGTGCCATCTTTTTTAACCTCGAGTCATTTTTATTCTTTACCAGAGCGCAACAACATTAATATAACAGGGTCTAACTTTACTAGAGACTCATTGAGATAAGTTGATTCAAAATATCATAATCATTTGATATGTGACATGCAATAATAGAAAGATAGGTAATCTTATAACAAGCCCAATGAATATTAAAATTTTTCAGGAATTGACCTAAACCAAACTCGAGCCCAACTCAAATTTTACTTATTTTATTTTATTTTTTTATAGACTTAGAGTCTTAGATGATCATTTTTATAATAAGGGTGTGGTTAGAATTAAAAAATCCCAACACACTTTGGACTTAGACTGCAACCTTTCTTATATTTTTTTTTATTTTAAACATATATATATATATATATATATATATGATCACCTTTGTTCTTTTAGACATTTTTTAATATTAATTTATTGCATATTAACACTTTGGAGAATTAATTTCTTAAGAATTAATTTTTGGAGAATTAATTTTCTAAGAATTTTTTTATAATTTTTTAGAAATTTGCATTAAGTTTTTTTTTTTCTTTAATATTTTTTTATAAATATGATTAGACATAATCTAATCTAAAACTAACTCAAAATCCATTCAATTTTTAGCCTAATTTATAATCTGCCTAATCCTCCCTTCAAAAGAAGTGCATGAATTCCTTTTTCGTTTTTATTGGAGATTGTGTTTATCATAACTTATAAAAATGCTTAATTAGTAAAAATATAACTCTTTTCTTGGTCTACAATCAAGATAGTTTCTTCAACTTCTTCAATAATGAAAAGGTTTTAAAGATGTTATCAGATTACTTGAACCCACAATTCGTATACTTTAAAAAGGAGAAAGTAACACTGAGCTATAGTTCTTGGTCTATTTCTCTAACTTAATTAAAGAACCATTTAATTTGATGATCAAGCAAAGTTTCTAAATCTTATCTCAACAGAATTGATGCACTCTACTTCCACTTCCACTTCCTTTAATCATTCTTGTATAAACTAGTTGAGCAAAATATACTATATATACACACACACACACACACATATATAATTCTTGGTTCTAGAAACCAGTGTGCATTAATGTGACCAGAAAGAGAATAAGAATAACATAATGTACTTAACACCATATAAGTTTAAACCACCAATTCTATAATATAAAAACATATATTTTAGCATATATAACAGGTCTTGATGGAAATAAATAATTTCACTGTTGCTGGATTCAGCACCAAAGAATTTATGAGTATCCAAGCCAGTAGGAGAGGAAATACTTTTCTTTTTCTTTTCATTTTTTTCTTCAGAATTTTCAATAAAATAATTTTATTCATCCTAGGTTTTGGATGGTACGTGTAACTGTTATTTCTGATGTCAAATACGTTCTCTCTCTTGATATTGTATGCACAAAAGTTCAATTACCACCCAACTAATTCTTCACTTTAAAAACAAAAAGTCGACGGTTCAAGTCCGCATATAAGACAATGTGGTGTTTGAAGTGTGAGTTTCTTAATTCCATCCAAAAAAAAAAAAAAAAACATTTATAAACGTGAAAAACCATATTCTGAACATAGTAACAAAAAGTGACATTTTGCTTTGTCTTGCAAGATCAAGAATCTTGTTATTCAGAAAAAAATGTTCAGTAAAACTGTGAAATGTGCCATTTTGGTTTGTATTGCAAGATTTGGAATCACTTTCTCATCATGTCTAGTCTTTACAATGTTAGTATAATCCTACTTGTTTGTGCTCATATTCATATCTTCTTCAAGCTTTTAAAGTGAAATTATTGTTTTTTTCTATTCCTTCAGTAATTCTGTGTCCACAGAGTAGAATTGCTTGAGGAATCTTACTGGCTGAAGCTTTGTACAATTAAGCATCTCCTTTTGAAACATTTTTTTAGATAACATCACATTCCCTCCTGTAGATTAATAGTGATCATCTCATTTTTTGGGGGTATTTTAGTATTTTCATACTTATTGCGCAATCCTAATCCTATAGCAGTATAGTAAGGGGCAATGGTATTTTGTTCTGAATGGCAATCCCATATCCGTAGACGTAATTAAAGTTTTGGGTAAATCCGTAAACGTAGTCCAAATTTTGGAGTGAATCCCAGATCCATCCCAAGTGGATCCACCTCTCACTTTCTTAATTTTTCAGAAGACTTTGAATTCTTCAATTTTCCCAGTTGAAAACTCACTGAAAAATACTTGCATCATCACAAATGTGAAGATTATCTTTGGACAAGGTTTAACATCATATCCTTGAATAGTTGACCTTCAGAGAATAAACAGTTCCTATTCTATTCTAGGGTTGTCTTTTGACCTGTGGCTGAGAAATTCATATGGATTTATCAAAGGGACAAGAGAATCATAGAGCAATAGGGCTAGCTTAAGGATGACTAGTGACCTTGTTAACTCCTACCCTTGACAAGGATATTTTGATCTCCGCTAATTAAGAAAAGTAAATTCGTCAGAGCGGTGTGATGTTCTCTATTTAACTTTCTACGTTTGTAAATGTAGAGAGTCACGTTACCCCAATAAGCCGGTGTAGTATTAATTGGGTTAACTAATTATATATAATTTAATTTTGTGTTAAAAAAAGAAAGTGTGAACAAAAAGTGGGATTGATGAGCCAGCTAATTTTTTTGTGGGGCCCACCGCTTGGCGAACCCCACACCCCGTGCTATCTATTGGATGCTCTTATAGAGAAATTTGAACATAAAATTTGGACAGGTTCAATACCATCTAATAATTTATCGTAAAACAAGAATATGACTTTGGGAAGAAGACCTGTGAATATTCTACACTGAAGAAAGTTGAGGCTAAAGTAACCCAACATGTGTCTGTGAAAGGTTCCTCCTCACTTTGAGAAGGCTGAGAGGCTGTTCTACTATACCTCCATTGCAAATCAACAACTAGTGATTAGAATTTTGTGTTTTGAGACTAATCACTGTCCTCTAATTTTGAGCTTTATTGACCCTATTTTAGGATTCCATAGCCCCTAATATTTAGATTGAGTTATGTAATGTGACTACAAAGGATGCTCCTTCTCTCTTTCACCTATGAACCCTTTGTTATCTCAAACTATAGGACAGATGCAACAAAAGGTACCCTAGTAGGTACCCTCAGGTGTGTGTATATATAGAGAGAGAGAGAGTACAACTTTTAGCCTTGATTCCTTGAAACATAATGGTCTGCATCAATTGATTCTTTCTTATGAATAAAAAAATATATATCAAATATTCATTGGAGAAGGAATTATATTAAAAGTTACTCGGAGGTGGCCAATAATTTTTTAAAAATTGATAGTTAAGCTTAGGAAACCAACGTATTGCTTTGACCAAAAGGCCTTGAAGACTTAGGTTAATGAATGTGGGACTATGGTCCCACGCATAGATGAAATGATGGTCATATGCAGAATAACTCGTAATTTTTTTATTTTTTTTTAATTTACTTATTTCTACAACATTTTTTTTCACATTTAAAGACCGAAAAAATGATATTTAAAGGTTAATAATGTGATTTCACCGTTCGTATAGCTCAAAAAATATAGACTAGAATTTTTTAAGTTAAAACTTCTCGATATTATTTTAAGTTGAATTGGTTTAACACGTGTCATTTCACTTAAATCTAGGGTTAACAATGCTCCATATAATTTAGTGATAAAAAAGGCTTGAAACAACAATGTTTTGAGGAAGAAAAACTAAACGCCGTCAATAGACAGCTTTAGGTTTCCAACCACCTACCTCTCTCTACCAATATTCTTGGTTTGATTATTATTATTATTATTTTTTTCTCCATCTCATGCAACTAAATTTTCCGATCTCTTCACCTTTCATTGTCTTCCCTCTATTCTGATTCTTTTTTTATGTTTAAACCTGAATTCTGCTCCAATTTCCTCTCACTGAATATAAAGCTAGGTCGTTTAATTTTTCTTGTTTTTTATTTCTTTATTATCTTAACTAATGAGATAATTGTTTTCTTTTGAATATATGATTTGTTGATTACAGCAAGGTAGGGTAACTGCATTTGATTCTAGTGCAAGTTATTCAATATAATTGAAAATTAGAGCTTAAACTCACTAATGATCATCACAAATTTGCAAACTTCATCACCAATTCTATACCATTGGTTAAACAACTTTAGTTTTTAATTTTTATTTTTAGTTTGCTAATGTGGTGCATTATGAGTCATAGATCTATGATAAAGGCCACATGTCAAAGTTTGTAAGATTCAAACTTAGGATAATGTAGATGAGTTTTAACTTAAAGGATCATAATCCACAAAATATTTATATCACAAAGATCACAAATTATATCAAATCATTTATAATAGTCTGAAAGGCAAATGCATTCAATCATGATGACGTCTTTCTCACATAAATACAATCAGATATATTCGACTTACATTGACGTTATATCGTATATATTTAAAAAAAAACAAATGATGTAACTTTAGTTACATCAAAAGAGCTATGTAAATGGAATGAATATTCTTTTATAATATAAGTGAGAGTTCGTTAGCCTGCTATTTCTTTATTTTGTTAAGAGAGTTGCTCATTGCTAGGCTAGGCAGCTATTTGAATAGAATGAATATTCTTCTATAATATAAGTGAAATTTCGTTAACCTGTTATTTCTTTATTTTGTTAAGAGAGTTGCTCGTTGCTGGGCTGGGCCATTTGTTATTTTTGTTTTATTTTGGATTCTGCATAGGCTGGGCGATAACTGATTGTGGTGGACTATAACTGATAAGAAGTAATAATACCCAAAAAAAAAAAAAAAAAACCCAGGTTAGCCAACACTAAATTACACCCTAATAGTAACAAGTAGAATAATGTGAGCTTAACGAAACTCAAAATGAAGGTCATAATATGGTTCGCAATATCGATCACGATAAATTCAAACAAAGTCATTATAAACTAACCAATATGAATCACGTATGAAATTTGAAAAATGATCCAAGTAATACCCGAAACCATAAATCATAGTCATCCACAATCACTTCGGAAATCCCAGTACAGTGCATCAAAGGACTATCAGCCCTCCATTCCAGTTTGGGCACAAAAATCATTTCTCTAATAAGTACTATAAATTTAGACCAAATAAACGTACAAACACAAATGTCCACAACAGAGCAAGAACCCAAAATTACCATCTAAAAGATCCTTGCCACTACAACCATCTAGCAGTTACAAGACCAAGAAAGCTTTTAACAAAAAAAAAAAAAAAAAAAAAAGCCTTTTAAAAGCCTTTTACCCAAAAAGGCTATATATGGCAAAACCCATCATAAAACCCAAAACTAGCAAATGTTAGCCCTAGTAGTAGTCTTAGTACTACTCTAATCTCCGGTAGAATTTACATTTGACAAAATTATCCCCATTTCATTACATCTTGGCCATCAAAAAGATTCCCTCATTTCACCAAAACGATCACATGATGTGACACCCATTAGGGTTTTCATCACTGAAGAGGGCAAACGAATCCAACGGTGGTGGTTGAACTTGATAAACCACTGGGTATGTGTTTGCATACGTGTACGGTGATGGAGGAACATAATAAGTTGGGCCACCAATTACTCTAGGATGGGCTGCATTGTAACTCACCGCATACACGGGATGAGGGATGCAACTAGGCGGGTATGATGAGTCCAGGTGATGACGTGTAGGGCTCAGATTAACTTGACCCGGATTCTGAGTATCCGATCCGGTGCCCCCGGGTGCACCGGTGGAACCGCCGGTATTACCATTATGCCCTTTCTTTTTCTTCTTGCCACCACTGCCGTTTCCAGTGTCCCCAGAAGCAGCTCCATTGTTTGCACCGCCCTTCTGGTCAGTCGCCGGAGGCTTATCGCCGGCCGGAGGGTTTTCCGGCGACTGCTTTTTAGCCGAGGCTTCAACATTCTCAGTTGGGTCATCACTGCCTTTTGGGTGCTCTTGTTTTTCGTTGTTCTTCGCTTTTCCCGCCTTTTTCTGTTTCCCGGTGATCTTTTCCGGCCAAATCTCGGCGTGTTTGCCAGTTCTTGCAAGCTTTCTTATCAGGGTCGCCGCATCAATGTTTCCTGTAACTGTCACTTTGTGTTGCTGTGAATCAATAGTTGTTGTATAGACACCTGTAGATAACATATATTATACGAAACAGAGTGAGAAACTGAATGTACAATGAAGTTTAGATTACTGAGAAAATTAGTGGGTGAAGAGGGAGGGTCATAGCAAAAGAAGCAAAACCCACTGTTTGGTTACTGAGAAATCAGTGAAGTAATTGAAAAGAAAATGATGGTTTTCTGTGGTTTAGATTTTATTAAACGAAACAGAGTGAGAAACTTAAGTTATTGGGACAGAAACAACACGTACAAAATCGAAAAAGGGGAGGTTCATAACACAAGAAGCAAAACCCAATGCTTGGTAACTGAGAAAATTACTGAAGGAATGGAAAAGAAAATGATGGGTGAAGTTATATGTTCTCTGTGGTTTTGATTTATTAAACGAAACAGAGTGAGAAACAGAAGTTCTTGTGACAGAAACAACACATAAAATAGTGAAAAAAAGGGAGGTTCATAACACAAGAAGCAAAACCCAATGCTTGGTTACCGAGAAAATTACAGAAGGAACAGAAAAGAAAATGATGGTTGGCCTTGTTTATCCATTTCCCTAGGGTTTCTTGGTAGCCAAACAGAGGGTTTACCATCGATGCTCTGTAGAACTTTCTTGACTTTTCTCTTGCAGCCATCACAGTGGATAGAGACTTTCAAAACCCATGTCTGAGAAACCAAAAAACAGAGTTTAGAATCACTAATGATCTGAGACAACATTGAAAATTTAGTAAACAATTAAAGAAGAATTGGGTTTTTTTTTCTTTTGTTGAGACAGATATGTGTGTGTGTGTGTGTGTGTGTGTGTATATATACCTGGTATTTCAGGGGTTCTGAGGATTCTTCAACAGGTACTGAAGCCATAAGAGAGAGAGAGAGAGGTTGGTGGGTGCTTTGAAGATGTTGGAGATTGAGAGAGGGAGGGAGGAATTGAATGTAAGATGAGACCAGAGAGAGAAAAAAAGGTTTGAATTAATTTGAATAGAGGGTGGAATGAATGTGAGATGAGACCGGAGAGAGTAGAAAGAGAAAGTAGAGAGAGAGAGAGAGAGAGAGAGAGAGTAGAGTAGTGGTACCATAGAGAGGTCTGCACGCTGTATAGCGAGCAAAAAGTGGGCACAGGTTGGTTCAGTGTCAACAATACTCCGTAGCAAAATGTGAAAAAGACAAGAGATGCCCTTAAAAATTGTTACATACCGCCTTTCTTTTCTATGTTTTTTTGTCAATTACCCCTTGTATTTGTATGTTGAGGTTTTTTCTAATCCATTGCAATGTCCAAGTCACACTCTCTTTGAAGGAGTGTCCCTCTTGGCTTGTAATCCTCTGTAAATCTTGATGTGTCTATGATTCTCTTTCAATATATATATATATATATATATATATATATATATATACAGAGAGAGAGAGAGAGAGAGAGAGTAGGCAAAAGCATGTGACATTTATTAAGGTAAGTTTCGCTTGGGATTGTCAATATCTTCTCATTTGTTAATAAATCGTAGTTGGGTTTGTGGCTTGATCTCATGTGCATGATAGTGTTATATAGAAGTTAGACCAGTCAAATTATTTATGAATTTTATTAAAGAAAGAAGTATGCTGACCCCTTCTATTTATTTATTTATTTATTTTTGAAAATTATAGGATTTGTTTGGGTTTTTTTTTTATAATTATTTTATACTCTATCTAACTTTATATCTATACATGTTAGTGAATATAAGTGTAATAAGAATCTGAGTTAACTCGTAAATAATTCAAATCCAATAATCTATTAAATTAACGAATCAAATATGAATTTGATCGATCTAATCTAACCTGATTTTGATCCGTTGACACATACTTGTCCTACTGATAAGAAACTCTACGAGAATTCGAACCCTCAGACCCCAAAATGATACATTGAGAATATTTACCATTATTCAATAAGATTACATATAAAGTGCTGAGGACGTGCAAACTTCATGCCGGATGAGGCTCAATTCTAGAGTCTGCATTGTAGTATTAATCTTAATGTGTTGTAACTAGGGTTAGAAGTTTTGAGTACTTTCGGTCATTTTCTTCTTAATCATCCCATTTCCCAACTTTGGTAACTTTGTGCCTCCACTAGTTTTACACTTTAAATCACTTTTTAAGTGTTCTTACGCAAATGTCCGTGACCTGGCGTGGACAAGACATGCAATATCACATCATCCCATTTTACTATTAACAGTAGATAGATATGTATCTTTATGACTTATACATACATATATACGTGTGTATATATATATATATATAGAGAGAGAGAGAGAGAGGGGTCTTTTCCACAATTAGTGTAATAGTAGGATAGGAATGAATAGCCTATTCCGAGAGCAAACAATTTAAAGTGTTGTAAAGTGAAGAGATGGTTGTCATTTTCAAAACAGAGGGGGTTGGATCCATTCAGCATAAATTGTTGCATCATTAAACACACAGAATTGGATCATTTAAAGATGTAGAAGCTCTTGGAAATTTTAATTTATATATCCTTCGAATTTAAGACTAGTGGTTCTCTCAATTTCTAATAACAAATGTTTCAACTCATCAATTGAAAAGAACTTCAACAACTCAGTAAAATTTGCAAAATTTCCCTCAAAGCTGGTTATATAATTTTAAGAAAATATCGAAACCTTCGAAAAGGAGCCTAATAAGTTCTGAAATATGCATATTTCAACCATAATTTTGAGTATAATAGAATCTAATTTTATCTTCATTTTTCCGCTTTAATCTTATTTTGTATTTTTTCCCGTTTCAGGTGCAGAAAGTTGAAATGAGCTAACTCTAGTGTTTTAGAGCATTGGAAAAGTCAACCAAAGTCTTGGTGAGAAACCGGAACAAAAAGAAAGTTAATCTGAAAAATTTCAATTTGTGATCAATCGAACCAAGATGCCTGATCGATCTTATCAGATCAATCCAGCCAGAATCATTGATCCCTCAAAAATTTTGTCCTTATCCAAATAAATATCTTCCAACAACATGTGATCGATCGAGCCGAGGCCATGATCGATCGAGCACTTTACCCTTATCCATGTAAATATTTCCAACAACTCGTGATCGATCGAACTTTCTTGACAACTGCGAAAATCAAAATTTAAACCTTAATTTAAGGGGGCTCATGGTGCAATCAAAGGGGTGTCCTTGTGTACGTGGTCTGGCTAATTTGAGGTCACGTTCGTTGATATCAAGTTAAATTCCAAGCCAATAATCCCTTCCAATAGTCTCTATGAACGATCCCTTCCAATAATCTCTGTGGACGATCACTTCTCACTATACTAATGTATAAGTGTTTATTAGTTACCAACAGAGGCATGTGTGTGTGAGTACCCAACTAGGAAAAAAAAAAAGTGTTTATTAGTTTTATAAATGTAAAAGTTAATCCCCTAATTGCCACAACTAAACACTTATTTTGACTACCTCTTAAGGGTCCATCAGAGCTGAAAGGCTCTCACAAGGCCGGCTTAGGCCTTAGGCGAGGCCTAAGCCAATAAGAAGGCCCCAAAATTTTAAAATTTTCTTTATATTATATTAAGTTATACTATAATTATTTCTTAATATTATTATTTCCTAATATTATTAAACTCTAATACATACAAAAAAAAAAAAAAAAATTATAGGCCCCAAAAATTTATATCCTAAAATAACTTCTTCTTTTTCTCTTTTCTTTCTCATTGCTTGGATTTTATATTAGTTTTCAAATATCATATCCTAAAATAACTTCTTATTTTTCTCTTTTCTCCGTCATTTGGATTTTATATTAAGCCTTAAATATTTATATCCTAAAATAACTTCTTTTTTCCTCTTTCCTCTTTCCTCTTTCCTCTTTTCCTTTTCTCTCTCCTCCACCATTCAGATCTTATATTAGGCCTCAAATATTTATATCCTAAAATATATATATATATTTTCTCTTTTCTCTCTACCCCTTCATTTCATTTAACTCTAACTAATGCATAAATTTAATATTGGCCCCAAAGATTTACATCCTTATATAACCTTTTTTTATTATTATTATTTTATTCCTTATTCACATTTTTCAATAAATCCTAACCAATATTGAAATTTAATATTGACCCCAAAATTTTGTATCATTATTTTTTTTTTTTTTTTTTTTTGACTCTTTCTTTCTCTCTCATTCACATTTTTTACACCAGCACTAAAAAAAATTATGGGTAAGTTAAAATTATTAAATATGTATTTAATATTGTTGTTGGGGAAGTGGCCAAAACTTTCTATATCCTTTTTATCTTCTTCTTTTTTCAACAAGTCTTTTCCTTCTCCTCTCATTACAAGTTTACAGTTGTCTTTATTCTCCAATCCATACTCATTATATAATCTAAATATGAATGCACTTCTATTCAATTGAATTTGGATTTTCTAAATCAAGTCCTATGATTTTTTTTTTATTTAATTATTTTTTAGTTTTATTAACTTTTGTTATTATAAAATTTTGTATGAGGGTTATTGTTAAATGCGTAAACTTGAATAAGAGTAAAAATACGAACACGGAGGCCGAATGGAGATCCCAAGGACTCTCCCAACGTTTGATGCATTTAGAAGGAATCCACGATCACACGTGCCTCACACCATAAGAGAGTCCTTGGCTCGATCTAATTTGAGGTTTTAAATATATATATATATAAAACCTCAAATTAGATCGAGCCAAGGACTCTCTTATGGTGTGAGGCACGTGTGATCGTGGATTCCTTCTAAATGCATCAAACGTTGGGAGAGTCCTTGGGATCTCCATTCGGCCTCCGTGTTCGTATTTTTACTCTTATTCAAGTTTACGCATTTAACAATAACCTTTGTATCCTTCCATGTCAAGAGAAGAAAGAGGATAAAAACAAAAACTCACATCTCGTATGACATATCTGAGGAGAAAGTATTCTTGGACCTCTTGTCTACTTATTATATTTTAAGGTAAAGTACAAAGAGACCCCCTGAGGTTTGAGGAAAGGACAAACAGATGAAAGTTGGCTTGTTTTTGGACAAACACACCCCCTTGTGAAATTTGCCCTCCAAACAGAGCCTTAAATCAAGTGAAAAGTCCATTTTACCCTTCACTATTTTATTAATTTTAATTATAAAATATTTAAAACTTAAATGGCCAAAATACCCTTTTCACACACACACACACACGCACACACACACCAACAACCAGTCACCACCGCCCCCAATCTCCACCAACCCCCAACCTCCATAATCACCACCCACTAAAGAAGACGCCAAAAAAGAGCTCTGCCACTGCCACCTCCTCGACCTCGCCGGAGCTCAGCCTCGGTTCGGGCGGCGAACTTGGCCTTGGATAAGCCGGGTTTGACCGAGATTGACAGAGACGTTCCCCACGCCGGCGTCTTTCATTCTTGACAGCGGTAGAGAGTTAATGTTTGAGCCTGCAGGGAAGATTTGAGGATGAGATCGGTGCCGCCGCCACCACCACCCTCTTCCCCTCTCTCATACACACGCACACACACACACACATATATATCACCCCCTCATCTATGCACATCACCATCCCCAATTCTCACCTTCGCACGGAAAAGGGCTCTAATTGGACTCAAAACGGACGGCAAAAGCGATGGCCACTTCAGCTTCCTCGGCCTTGTAGGTAACGGTCGCCGGACTGTGCTTATCTGAACCTTGTCGTCATCGGAGCTTGGTCCTCGCCAGATTGTTTTTGCTCGTCGATCTTTTGTTGCTCGGTTTCTAAACTTCGCCACACTATTCAGTTCGTGGCCGCATCGTCATCGGAGCTTGGTCCTCGCCGGCAATTTCAGGGTTTCGCCGATGCTTCTGGGTTTCGCCGCCATTGTCACAGTCATGGCAGCCACCCCCACTGTCGCAGTCATTGCCGATGCTTCTTCCTCTCTTTCCTCTTCACCTCATCTTTTCAACTATGGCCGCCCCTCTCTTCCCCCTCTCTCTACACCCACCACCACGGCCACAACCACCATCCATCTGATCTCCCTTCTCTCTCCTCTGGTGAACTGTATAATATACGCAGGCGGGTTCGGGTTCGGGTTCGGGTTTGGTTTTGGGTTTGGGTTTAATCAACGGGTATTTAAGTCAATTAAAATGTTAATTTTATTTGAAAGGGTAATAAGGTCAATTCACCATCTTCAGGGTCTCTTTGTCCATTTTTCGAACTTGAAGGGGTGTCATTGTCCAAAAACATGCTAACTTTCCTCTGCTTGTCCTTTCCCCAAACCTCGAGGGGTGTCAATGTACTTTACCATATATTTTATTATAAAAAAAAAAATTTAATAAATATTCATTGGCAATCTCAAATATTTAGTATTTTGTGCATTTACTAACGCCTTTGTTTTCCGTTTTGTAGTTTTAAGAAAGTAAAAATATAATTTATTTTTTTAAGTAAAAATAAAAAATAAAAAATGAACGTTTATTAACACTTGTTATTGTCATAATTTTAAAAGTAAAAAACAATAACAATGTTTAATAATACATATTTGTTAGAGATGTACATAATATTTTTAAAATTTTTTTATTTTATTTTATTTTTAATACTTTTCATTAGTACCAAAAAGCCTTAAATATGTATGTAATTCAATTATATCACAAATATTAAAAATAGATAATAAAATATAATATTCAATTTAAAATCATAAATCTTAATAATTCCTAATATATATGTACAAAATAAGATATATTAAGACAAAAACACTCTCACAAATTATGTATATAAGTGCATATGCATCATCTACACATTTATTATATAATATATACAATATATTTAACATATAGCATATTATAATAAATAAAAAATGAATGTTAAATAATATATCTATATTAAAATATAGATATGGTATATAATAATATATTATATTTGTTGCATAATAATTTAATAGTGTTATATAAAATAAATCATAAATATATAATAAATCATAAATTTTTTTTGTCCCAAAAAATAATTTACACTATTATATAATATATTATATTTTAAAGATATATTTTTGTTAAATAAAAAATAATTTACACTAATATATAATATAATTACAGATTAAAAATATAACTTTTATTATTATTTAATATGTGGCAATAATATACATTTTTATTTGAAATGAACATTGTATATGTAATAATAAATTAATAGTGAAAATGTTTTTCCTCAATAGTGTTGAAAATATGATAAACACGTTTCTTATGTTTTCTCTTTTCTTCACAAAAATAAAAAACATTTTCTGTTGTAGAAAAACAAAAATATATTATTAAACATAATTTTTGTTTTTATTATGCCTTTTTAGACACTGACAACAAAAAAACAGAAAACGTTCCTATTACTAAACACAGTCCCATCTAGTATTGAGGTATTAGAAATTTTAATTTAGAATATGAAAGACGAAGCTAACATTCGTGATTGATATGACATATATACATTTTTGCTAAGATGGAATTTCAATTGTATAAATTTATATACATAAAGAATTAAGTAAGAATTACCACCAAGATAATATAAATTATCATCTAATCACTAGTTAGATGATATGAACACTCCTCTTTTAAATAAAAAGGTAAATGATTTGAGATCCTTGTGAAATTTGGACATTCTTGCTTGCTTATAAAAAACAAAAATAAAATAAAAATGATGTCAATACTAGCTTAATTTCATGAGGCCATCTCTACAGCACAACCATCACCATTTCATTGCCACCAGTCATCTCCAATGGAGATGAGAATAATTGATGTCAGCTCTAGGGTTCATTATACTATTGATTTACAAGTTACCATAAGGTACTAAAGAAACAATGGTTTTCAAATGAAATAATGTTTTTTTATTTTTTGTTTTAGGATAGATAGAGAATAAATGAGAAATTATTAAATGGTCCGGGACTATGTGATCCCGACCAATCAAGGGATGCCTTATAATAATAAAATTTGAATAAAAATTGAATGAAACGGGTACATTTAGTTGCATGTCATCTCCTGATTGGTAAGAATCACCTAACAAGTTCTCGAGAATTAATAGGTGCACTGTTGCAGGAAGCAAAAGAGAGAAGACATTCTCAGACTTTTTACTGCAACTCTTTTAGCAACTAAGGTGGGTTTCTAAAGTGAAATAACAAATAAAATGTATTGGCAACACTCAAAAAAAAAATAATAATAAATAAATACATATACTAGGTGTGGATAAATTTTTTGCTTAGCAAACAAGGGAAACTAAACGCTACTACACGACTATACACGAGTGGACCAAGTACAAGAAGTAAACAAAATGCTACAAACTAGAAATTTTGAGTAGAATTGTATTTGCAGTTAGAGAGAAAATCCTCCTACACAATTGTCAATTCTCTATGGCGCACCTGCAAGATAAGACTAACTACAAGCCAAATCCGAGAACCGGTGAGCAAGAGATCATTCCTATATATATATATATATATATATAGGCTATTAACGTACAAGTTGCTATCTAAGACGCAGAAAGTATAGCACCACCCGGTAGGGCCAGTACAAATGTTGTATGAAGTTTACACTAAACCTCCTAATACTAATACTCGAGGGTTCCCATGATATTCTTATCAAAGGCAAACAAGCCTATTCTAAATTGATTAGGCCACGTTTGGCAACCATAAAAATCAAGAACTCAGTCACTCCTGACAAAATTTGGCGCACACAATATCATTCACAAATATTACCTAACTTTTTGAGCCACCCAGTGTAATAACAAAGAAGAAAAAGTTAATAATACGATACTGTGGAAATATGCATGTACATTTGTAAGAATCGGTTCCAAGATGTAAATAATATAATTGTCCCACATAATAGGCCACTCCAATCTTATGAAAACTGTGTCACTACCCACAATTTGTACGTGCTCGATCAAAGTCAAACCAAATGCAAAAACTAGGCTAATTTTAAAGAATAACATCGATACTTTTCATTCCTCTCAAGACAGTTAAAAGACGTGACAAAACTAAAGAGCCGTTGTAACCAAATATAAGGGACAACTGATTTGTTAATGGCCACCCACAGTTTCAAATTATGAAGCTAAAAAGTAGACAGTAAAGTGCATTATGAAGAAATTAGGCATATTCCTATTCATGGTAATTCATTCAGATGAGAAATCTGTCTGCAGCTAGACGACAATGGGAAAACACTCACAATATTCTTTCACAAGGAGATGCTTGTCTCCGCTATAAATATGAGCTCTAAAACAAATAAACATAGAAGGGAAACACGTCTATTGTTCAGTTTCTTTACCATTATTATCCTCTTTTGGCAAATTCTGAACTTCCTCATCATTGGCTTCAACTTTGGAACCTTCAGCCTCTTTAACTTCTCCCGAAACATCCTGCAACTACAAGAGGAGTTCAAAAATTATCAGTTCACATGCTTGACTTGAGTTTTCAAAGCACTAACAAATGTTAAAGAAAAAAAGAAGAATGACCCGAGGAGTCAAATTACAACACTCAAAAGTAGCTTACCCCCAAGTTTCTTAAGCTAGCAGCAACGTCTTCTTGCTGCTGCTGGAGATTTGTCCTCAGTTCTTGAAATTCCTAGTGTCATGCAAAAGAAATAGATGTACATCAAGTATACTTCAAAAAGTAAATTAGCGAAAGTATGAAAGGAGTTTCACTTACTGATCGAAGTTGTTCCACTTCAACATTAAGTGATTTCTTGAGATCCGAAAGCTCCTGCATGGAATAAGAAAATAGAATCAGAAGTTGCACATAAATTTAACATTAAAAAGTCCTAATAATGCAAGAAGGGAATTGTTGGTAAAAAAAAGAAGTCAACAAGGGCTAAAGGGAGTAAAACTGATTTTTATACTGAATATAAGACGTCAATTTAGGTAGAAAAACAGCACAAACAAGAAAGATGGAAATAAAATCCGTCCAATACTTCAATTTGCTCCAATTTATCAATTGTAGGGCAAAAAGTGGGCTGCAAAATATGGTGCCCCTTGAGCTTTCCTGCTTTCCTTTCTTTACATCCTTTTATTTTATTTTATGTATTTTTGGGGTGTGTGTGGGGGTGGGGTGGACACTTTGGTTGTCTGAATGTTATCCACCTCAAGTAATGCTATGTTTGGTACTCGGGAATGGAACGAGCATGGCCATAGAATGGAATAATCATTTTCATTCTACTATTTGGTTGCAAATATGAAATGATGTAGGAATAGAATGATCATCGCCATTCTAGTGTTTGGTTGGACCAATATAAAACCTAGAATGGAATGAATTTCAAATTGAATTCTCCAAAATACCCCTCAATGACAAATAAATTAAACTAAAAAAAAAAAACATTCTTCTATATTTTTCTTTAAGAGAAATGGCGGTGGTGGAAGGCGGTGGCGGTGGTGGCAGTGGAGGAAGGCGGTGGTGGTGGCGGAAGTGGTGTACATGGTGGTGGTGGAAGGCAGCAATGGTGTAGGCGGTGACGGTAGAAGGCGGTAGTGACAACAACAACAGTGTAGTGGCGGAGGTGGAAGGTGGCAGCAGTGCTGACAGTGGTGGTGGCGGTGATTTTTGGACTTGGAACGACAGGGTTGTTTTTTTGGGAACGTGATTTTTTATTTTAAAAAATATACTCGTACTTGGGAATGGAATGGCCATTTCATAGGTTGAGATGTGGTACAAATTTTTATTCTTTTCCATTCCAAGGTCATTCTCAGTTTAGTTTTCCTACTAAACAAAAGAATGGGTGGAATGGGTATTCCATTCCATTCCTGCACACCAAAAGCAACATAAATGTACGGCCTAGTTTGGTGTGATGGAATGGGGGTGGAATGGAATGACCATTCCTTCATTCCTTTCTCTTGTTTGGTGTACTACTTTAAAAGTGGAATGGCTATTCCCTTGGAATGCTCCTTCCACCTTTTAGATGGAATGACCATTCCTCTTTTGGACTTGTGGAATGGCCATTTCATTCCCACTAAATTAAAATAATAAAATGCTAAGGACAAAAAAACCTTACGTATTCTTCTTTACAGATCTGACAGGCTCTCTCTCCATCTCTCCTCTCTCACTATGTCATGGTACACCTCTCTCTCTCTCTCCACGCATAGTATACCATGGAATATATATTTATATATATCTTTCTCTATTTGCAGTTTGTGCTCTACAATTTGTTCTATACGTATTATATATATATATATATAGATATAATATGCATATTATATATATATATATATATATATATATATATATATATATATATCATATATCCGCTAGTTGGGGAAAAGAAAAGGAAAGAGAGGAATTGATTAAAGGAAAAAAAAGATTCTTTTGCCCGTATGAGAATCCTTCTTCCTCTCTTTATTTCCAACTATAGATCTTCATATACGTATACACAGGGGAAAAGAAAAGGAAATAGAGGAATTCATTCAAGAAAAAAAAAAAAAAAAAAAAAAAAAAAGAAGATTCTATACACAGGGGAAAAGAAAAGGAAATAGAGGAATTGACTAAAGAAAAAGAAAAAAAAATAAAAATAAAATAAATAAATAAATAAATTTCTCAAAGTACGTTTTGCTCATTCATTTTTTTCGTACTTGGTAGATTTCCAAAACAACCAAACAAGAGCAAGTGAAATTCAAGCAAAGTTTTGAAAAGGGTAGAAGTGATTAGAACTCTAATTAAGGTAAATTTCTGTTCTTCATAATAATTTAAAGCCTTTGATTTTATTTATTTATTTATTTTTGTGGAGTTCTATGGTACTCTTGTTGTACTGTATGGTTGATTCTCTCTCTTGTATCTGTAATTGATTTTCAATCTCTCTTTCACTAAATCATGTTCTCTAATATAATGGATTATCAATATTTGATTTGAATGCTTAGTTTTATGTAAATTTATTTTATGTATAAAGAAAAGAATTTAGCTAGCACTTTATATATTTGGTTTTTGATAAAATGGGTTTGAGGTTTAATACGTTGTTCGGTTTTTTTTTTTTTTGGCAAGGGTTTGCCATTGTTTTGTATTGTTCTACATTGTTCATAACCTAATAAAAATTTTACAAGATAGCATTTTTGTACTTTTTTATTGATTAAGACTTGGTATCTATTTTGTGTTTCATGTACTTTTTTTTATTACTTGAAACTTGGTACGTATTTCTTTTGTGTTCTATGTCCTTTTTTAATTACTCGTGTTGTTTATGAAATATTATTATGTTATATGCTATCTTGTGTATAAAGAATTATGTTAGGCGTTATTTTAAAACTTTCTTGTATCGATGTACTATTTTAAATTAGGAATGGAAAGTGGACCCGGTAAAAATAAAAGAAAGTGGACTGACGAAGAAGATATGAAACTTATTGGGGCTCTTCTTGATTTACATAACACTGGAAAGTACAATGCTGATCGTGGTTTTAAACCCGGCCATTTTCAAGCTGTGGAAAAAATACTTGCAAACAATTTACCAAGTTCAGGCTTAAAGGCAGACCCACATATTAAATCAAGAATGAAAACTTTGAAACTCATTTTGACGTTGTCCATGATATGTTAAATGCTAATGGATTTGGTTATGAAAAAATGAAACAGTGCGTGGTAGCTGAAAAAGCAGTATGGGATGCTTACTTACAGGTATTTTTTTATACATCACTTTATTTAGATAAATCCTTTTACATTATGACGTGCTCAATAATTATTTTTCTATGTTAATTTTAGAGTTATAAGAATGCTGTAAAATTCAAAGATAAGTGTTTTCCACACTACAAGGAGTTGTGCATAATATTTGGAAAGGATCATGCTAATGGTAAGGAAGCTGCAACACCAAATGATGTTTTAGAAGCACTAGAAGATGAAGAACTTGATAAAGAGAAAGAGGCTGATAATGATGATGTTGAAAACCCTTTAGATGATATACTTATATCACCAATGGTTGGTAATACTAGTGAAACAAGTTCTAAAAAGAAAAGAAAGAAGAGAAGCCAAAGTGGTGAAGAAATGATATTAGAAGTGGTAAAGAGTTCATCAAGTTTCAAGGGCTCTAAGATGGATTCATCTAGTGAACGCATTAGTAGAGCAATTGAAGATGCATTAGTGAAAGATATGAAACTCAAGCTAAATGAAGAACTGAAGAAATTATCCGATTTTAGCATGGTTGAGCAACATAGAGCAACTGCTAAACTTGCTCGTGATCATGACTTGCTGCATATTTTTTTTACAATTGAAGATGAGGAGAAGGAAGCATGGGTTAAGGAAGTAGTTCTTTAAATGCTAGTTAAACTTTTGGATATGGTTTTTGGATGAACAAGTAGTAACTATGGTTTTTGAATATTTATATAACTCTTATTAAGTTAACTTTTGAATATGATTTGGATGAACTATGTAGTTTTTTTTTTTTATATATATATTTATGTAACTCTTATAATATGGTTTGTGAATGATCAATCTGTTTTGGCAATTAAAATCACAGATTTTATGCTTTCGGCTTGTTCTACTTTATTGGGCCCTTTTAATGTTTCTGTTATGTAGGCCAACGATGGTGTCTTGGTTTGATTATGTCTATTTTCTTGGTAAGCACGTGATGCAAATGTGTAAATTCTAGTAGTAGTAATTCTTTTATTAGATCATTTTTAACAAATATTTGTTACATCTTTGATACTGTGGCAAGGCTCATACATTTGTTTGGCATTTTATAAGATAATTTTTTTTTAAAAATACAAAAATAAATAAAATAAAATTACACATTATAAGATAATTGTGTGTGTGTATATATATATATATATATATATATTTTTTTTTTCATTTTATAAAAATGCATTAATTGGTATGAGTTAATTTTATTATATAATAAGAATATGTCATTCTATTTTAATAAAACTGATATATTACAAGAAAAGGGTATTTTGGAGAAAACAATTTATAAATCATTCCATTCTAACTTTTTATTTGATATAACCAAACATAGGAATGAGAATGGTTATTCCATTCTCTGTTTGTATCCAAACAGTGGAATGAGAATGATCATTCCATTCCTACATCATTCCCATTCCCATTCCCATTCCATTCCCACTTGCATTCCATTCCTGCCTCATTCCATTCCATCACACCAAACTAGGCCTAAGGGTAAGAGAAGTATATGACAATAATAGGGCCCTATAATAGTTTAAATTAAATTAAAATATATTAAAAAGATTTACTTACCAAAAAAAATATATTACATTAACAATTAAACTCCACAAAGCTAATAAATTACCTCAATTTAGAATCTTTTAAGTTTTATTTCTAAAAATCCACATTTATATATACATAAAAAGAGATATAACCCCTATTTTCTCCTTCTTGTTTTACTATTTTGTAACTTTAAATTTCTCTGTCCATATATATATTTACATTATATATGCCCAAATAAGACATTTTTATACATGGATATAAAATACTTTTTTTATTTATATATGATCTTATCTTAATTATTATTATTTTTTTTTGATAAGTCGTTACAATAAACCAATCAGCCCCTCTAGCTCTCTATGGTAACAACTTGACAGGGAACTCTATTTATATCCTGAGTCCACCCTATTTATATCCTGATTATCAAGCTTTGAAGTGTCTTCAATTTCAAAGAAATTAGAGTGCCAAACATGTAAGATGGGCTGATTTCGTTCAAGAGAACACTTCTGTACTCAACTAACAGCTGATGCTCTTAGTCAAGTCATAGTCTTTCTTCAGGCTGTAAGTGCTCATGTGAAAGGAGATTATTCTACTTGTCCTGATTTTGGATAATATTCCAAGAGGTTAAAAATGGAAACAGTCAGTGATTACTAATTATGTTGATTTCGTTCTTAGAGACTGTTATCGAGTTCGAAGCTCGCGACTTTGCATTCCCCAAACATTACTTATAAACTTTTTAGTCTAGGTCCCTGGGAGTTACACCGCCCGCCCGGGGTTTGTAGGTATGTTATTGGCCGTCACCTGATAAAGATGTTGCTTGAGTGTGTACCAAGGTTGCATTGTCAGTTACCAAAAGCTAAAAACAAAACACTAGTTTATACACTCCTCTTCCAGTGCTTCACACACAATGGAAAGACATTAGTATGAATTTTGTCCTTGGTTTGCCTAAAATCGCAAGAGTGTATGAAGATTCTATTTTAGTTGTAGTGGATAGGTTTTTAAAAATAGCACACTTGATTTCCTATAGTAAGAGAACTCATGCCTCACACATGGATAATTAATTGTTTCAAGGAAATTATTCAATTCCATGGATTATGGACTTTCATTGGGTCTAACAAAGATGTCAAGTCTGTTGGCTACTTTTGGAAGACACTCCTCAAACTTTTTGGGACAAAATTGAAATTATCCCTAGCTTTTCATCCTCACACTAATGGTTAAACTGAGGTTGTTAGCCAAAGTTTAGGAGACCTGCTTTGGTCAAGTTCATGGGATTTGTTGTTGCCAACAGTGGAATTCAATTATAATAGTTCGGTCAATCAATCCACTGGTAAAAGCCCTTTAGATATCCCTTACCTCCGGATTCCCATCCCTCTGGCTCTCCTGATTCTTTTCCTCAGTTCAACATATTCGTGATTTACATGTCGACGAAAATTTGCTACGAGTAAAGAAAATTATAAAGTTGCTGCAAGTACTCAAGGATCTTGAATTCAATGAAGGAAATTATGTTTAGTTCGTATATGCCTAGAACGTTACTTTAAAAACTCTTCAAAAAATTACATGCCCGAGCTACTGAACCTTACCCTATCCGTCGTAAATTTGGACCCAATGCATATTTAATTGACTTACCATTAGATATGGGCATTAGTCCAATTTTTAACTTGGTCCTTCTGGTTTTCCTAAAGGTAGAACTACTTTGCCACTGGTGTCTGTGCCTTTCTTCCAGCAATCTAGCCATAGTCTACAAATCAGGTTGCAAATGTCCTTTCTAGTCAAATCATTGCCACAGGGTGATTCACAACAATAGCTTGTTTGATGGAGAGGTCATACAGACTCACATTCAACATGGATTACGGAGGATGATTTTTGTCTCCTCAACTTTGATCTTCTAGAGCGACATCTCCACCATCACTCTCCACAAGCAAGTTCTTCTCAGCTGGGGAGAATTGATGGAGATACATGGGGTTTTCCGCACCTATTCTAGGTGTAGGTGTAGGGACATTTCCTAAGAGTTATTATAGTATTTTACTATTTTCATTGTTAGGATTTTGGTTTTTTTGGAATTCTATATTCTTTTTATTGTTTCGTTTCTTATTTAGGGTGTTGCACTGTTGACTACAAAAGGCCATATTTAGCAGAATAAAACAGCCTTTGATTATTATTTTGTTTTATAAGTAAAACAGCTTTTGATTATTGAATATCTATTCTCTGTCTTTTCTCATCCCCTTCTTCTTCTCTCATCTCATCTTCTATCTTCTCATCCACGTATTTCTTTCTGGTCTTGCATCAGGCTTTGCTTATTACATATCCATCCAATGGGAACAAGAGGCAGTTACTGCCATATGCAATTTGAATGCAATGGAACACCTTGGGATGAGAATGCAACCTAATAATCTATGATGACTAATAACCTAAATCAGACAGTACCTACTTCAACTAACGATTCAGAATGCACAGAAAAATTTTGCAAGAGATACCACAATATATGTTTGCAAATTTGTCATTATGCAGTGATACAAGAGTCTTTATTCTGAAGTTTAATCGGAATTTAAAGTATTTGTAGTCCAAGGCCTTATAAGTTAAGTGAGAATAATTCCTAGACATGCAATTATAGCACACATTGATATCTCAACACATTCCTCCTGCATTTAGATGTGATTTAATCCTAGAGACTTGAAGTCCCGTTAGCAGACATTTATGAATATAAAAGAGAAGGAAAACAGGAAATCTGCAACAATATTTGCGCTTGGTGTCTGTCACTTCGCTTTAAAAGAAAATCATAGTGGATTGAGATTGCCTAAAACAAAGGGGAGAGGGGGGGGGGGGGGGGGGGGGGGGGGGGGGGGGGTTTTGGGGAAATCATACATTTCACAAGGAAACAAATTTTCAAGAATGTCTTAAAAATTTATCATTCGGTAATACGCTCCCAAAAAGCCTTTATATAGACAATTGTAAAAAATATGATGCTATGCATAATTAATGTAAGTGGGAACCAATGTTTTTCTTAGTTGGTACTCACACACACATGCTTCCATGGAGGCTTGAACCCCGACCTAACTTTGGGAAGTAAGGGCCTGATACCGCTAGGCCCCTGGCCCGTTGGTAAAGTGGGAACCAATTTTACTAAATGATAAGAAAATTCCAACTAAATTTGACAATAATGAAACAATATTATCCAAAAGCAGCAATAGAACATTAGAACTTGATGCGTTTACATAATAATTTATCTTTATATACTTAACGAAGGCTTTTGGACTCCAATTGTGTAGCCACACTAGCTCATATACAAATGAAATAAAAACTAAAGAGTTCAACAGCTATCAATGATCTAAAAAACAAAAGCAATACTAGGTAGCAGCAGTAGAACCCAGTTAATTATAAATCAACCAAGTCACCAAAGTGAGAATACACCGAAAGTGGAAGAGAAATTTCCAGCAGCTTGTCAAACCTCTGGGATTAAGAAACAACCCCACATGATGTCCACTCTTAACTACTAAAGGTCTTTACTCTATCTTACAATTAAAGGTGAATTTTTCATATTAAAGCAGCAAAGCAGGTCAAAGGAACAATCCATTTTCATCTCATTTTCCTAGACATTTTCTAAAAAGGGCCATTCAACATGAATGGTAGACAAATATATATATATACCTTTTTGCTAAAGGACTTACTGAGTTCTAGGCTCTCAAATGTCTAGCTAATCCATCCACCTTAGTTAACTCTTCCACTCATACTATTGTCCACAACTGTCTCCACTTCAGAAAGCTCTAGAATTCTTGACACTTGAGCAGAATATTTGTACCCACCAATGTTTTCATCAATGTATGCACGACAATCACGCGGACAAATACCAATTTTTGAATCCCAGCTTAATCATCCCATGAATCCAAAGCAAAATCCTAAATAAGTTTGTGTGAGGTTGTTGAAAATTTCTCAATTCCAATTTACCAAGAGGACGAATAGTGTTGGGGTTCCACCAAAGCAGGTCAAATTTCATAATATCAAGCAAAAGCCATATACAACCAAACATTGTTTTCATTGCATAAAACATATTATCAAATCAAATTTGAGATAAAAGACATTTTTCAATTGTATAAACAGCTAACACTTACATCTCGGTAGATCCTAACTTGAGTGTCTAACTTCGACCTCCAACTTTGCAGATCCTGAAGAACATATAGATATGGGTCATAGCCAGAATTGAAGTATAACGAGGGTAACAAAACACATACAAATACAAATTAAGATGTATATACAACCTCTCTATGCTAATTGTTAAGAGAGTTTTTTTTTTTTTTTAATATACCTGTTTCAATCCTTGAATCCTATTAAGTAACTCCACCCTCGATTCACTCAATTCCTACAATACAAGTACAACAACTAGATTCAAAAGACATTATTGTTTCATATACATAAACAATGCAACAAGTAACAAGTAAACTAAAACATTCAACTTACCACAATTTTTGAATTAATAGGCGTTATGTTTTCCTTCTTCTGTAATTTTAGAAAGAGAATAAAAAATAAAAAATAAATAAAAGAGTAGCTCTAAGCACACATTGTCAGAAAACCTAGGAATTAGATCTCAATATAGAACAAGTAACAAAAATACACAGAAACGTAGAGACATATACATCTATATATATATATATATATATATATATATATAGATATACATACACATGAAGAGAGAGAGAGAGAGTAATGTAGAGAGAGAAATTTACAGAGGAGAGAGGAGGAGCTGAAGCACACACGGATGGAGTGGAGTCGGAGTTTGCCATTATGGAGGAAATCAAACAGTATTGCGACTGAATTGACTATAATAATACTAGGGTTTATAAAATAGTGTTTCACTGTTTCAGGTACAGATCTAAGATGCGTTTGAGATTGATCTTTGGAGGCAAAGATAAAAGCTGGAACTATATGTGAATGTATAATTGTATAATTGTGTGTGTGTCTATATAGAGAGAGAGTTATATATACATAAGAGTGTCTGTGTATATATTTAGAGAGAGAGAGAGAGAGAGAGAGAGAGTGTGTGAAATTCGAAATTTTGTATTGGGGCGGGCCAAAATGATAAGAGTAAGAAGATTTTCTGTGGCTCGACTCTACTTTACTCTTCACTGGTGTTTTGTTTCCAGTTTCCCCACAGATTGATTAGGAGAAACATAAACGACCGTGTTTGATGGGTAGTCAACCAGACTTGACTTGCAATTTTGGGGCTAATGGGCTACAATGTTAAATTGGGTTTTGATTCTTTTGAATCCTTTTGATTGGCCGACAGCGTTTGAATAAAAAATTGCTCCTTTGTTTGTGGAATTTGAATTCAACCACTTGGGGTGTGTTTGGTAACACTTTCATTTTCATCTTCATTTTCAATTTCCTTTATTTGTGGAATTTGAATTCAACCACTTGGGTTGTGTTTGGTAACACTTAACACTTTCATTTTCATCTTCATCTTCATTTTCAATTTCCTTTTGCCATTTTCTCACAACGACATCATCACTCTTTCTTAATAAAAAGGATTACTACCCATACTTGGGGCGTATCCTAGGATTTTTGGTCCATTCGGTCGGAGTGGTGAAATTCATTTGTGGATTTGACAATCGAATTGAGGTGCGAGTGTGCAGACAGCTGGTTTTGCCCCTTTTCTTTGGAGATTAATGATTTAGTTCTATGAGATTGAGTTGTGAACTAGAATTCGGACTTTGGATGTGATGGTGAAGTCTAATTTTCAATCCATGGATAGATTTTTAGTTCCACATTTACGGCTATGTGTGTGGGGTTGTCGGTGATTGGAAATTCGAGAACAAAAGTGTAAAAGCGACAAATTGAATCATAAATAGTGACAATTTGAGCGAAAGCCAAAGCGTGAGAACGAGAGCGTGAAAGCTACACCGATTGAAAAAAATTGTGTGATTTAGTTCCGTCCTTGTCATCAGAGAATTTAGAATGACACATGAAAAGCAACAATGAGGTGTATACAGTGAGGTAAGTAAAAATAACGAAATGGTAGATTTATCCAATTATAAAGTATTTGTATAAATGATCATGGGCATTTATTAGCTTTTCACTTTTAATTTTGGTGACTATAAATTTTTTCTTGGCTTACGGTTGAAATTTAAAGTAATTTTGTCTCCTTTTATGCGAAGCATTTCTACTATTTTGAACTAAATTTTTTTTTTTTTTTCGAAAGTTAAGATATATTGATTATGTGACAACTGTACACGATCCAAAGAAGCCAAAAGCCCAATACAACAGACAAGCCCAAGGCTGCCAAAACAATAGACCAAGTCCATCAAAAGTTGAACAAAGACAATAATAGTCTACGAAACCATAGACTAAGCTTGTCTACACCAACAATCCAATACAATCCAATACAATCCAATTCCAAACAATGACAAAGAGAAATTGAGCCGCTAAGCACGCTCCCCTAGTAATCAATCCGACGACTCCGCCGGCAGTCTGATGAAAGCTCCAGGGAGTCCCCAATAAACGACTACTCTCTGAGCAATTGCAGTGTCCTTCACTTTCATAGAGAAAAGGCGTTGCTTGACCATGTCCATCGTCTCATTGAGGATATGTGATTGTGATTTCCTCTTCCTTTTGAAAGCTCGATCATTTCGTTCAGTCCAGATCCGATTGATGAAGGTGGAGAGGGTGAGTTTGTTGATTGAGTTCTGTAGATTCCTCTGCTTCCAATAGCGCGATGCCCAAAGGATGAAATCTACCCAAGATGGAGGGGCTTGAAATCGGCGCTTCATTTTGAAGAAGCTCCAAATTGGTGATGAAAATGGGCAGGAAAAAAACAGATGCTTATGCGATTCCACATCAGAAAGACAGAGATGGCATAGGTCGGCGCCAGGAATTGACTGCATACAATTCCGATCAAGGGTAGACAGATGGCCTTGTACTGCAAGCCAGAGAGAAAACTTGCACCTAGAGATGGAGAAATTGTTCCAAACCAGATGGTGCCAAGTTGTCAGCAGGTAATTAGGAGAGAGTTTTTCAACTTTGGATCTTGATTTATCTTTTTAAACTACTTTAATGCAGGAATAATATGATATTTATCATTTAGAGTTAGCAAACTTACAAAAAGGCTTGAGAAAACCTCACAAATCTATCCAAAAGTGAATGCTCTCACTTATAGAAACTTGATCTACAATCCTTAGACTTCCTCTTTCTTTGTGTGTGGATTTGCCTTCAAGAATCACCAATATGCCTCCATGAGTGACCTTGGATGCATAGTTTGTTGGAGCTCCTAGAAGAGTACACTCCAACCCAAATTATAGAGAGATGAAGTATTTGATGTTAACACTCTAACGATGCTCAAAGGCTTACTAATGATACATGTCATTCATGTGTGTATACAGAGCCGACCTTGAGATTGAAAAAATCTTGAGAGGCCCTAGGCAAACTTTAAATGTGAGGCCCTATATACATAAGTTTCACATGTGCAAAATATATATATATAAGTGCGAAATTTTCATTAAAGTAAATGTGATCGTCTTGCATTTTGAGCTGCAAAATTATCAATTAAATTGCTCAAATCAACTTTTTCCAACACATCTTTTTCAATAGACAATATAGCTAATCCATTCAATCTCTCTTGTGTCATCGTCGACCGCATGTAAGATTTAATTAACTTCAACTTTGAAAAACTTCTCTCAGCAGATGCAACTGTAACTGGAATAGTCAATAATACTCTATATGCAATCCAAGCATTTGGAAAACAATAACCTAACCTTTTTATAAAATCAATACTTCAATTGCCTTTTTTGTTTCTTTTGGTAAAGCTTCTCTTAAGATTTATAAATCAAAAAATAATTCAGTCACATCAATATCAGAAACCACTTTATGTTTTAGAATATTTTCAAGGTTATGACATGAACATTTCAAACTATCATTATTTACAGACTTTAACCTCTCCAAATTAAACAAAAATTCAAAAGAGTCATCATATTGTTGAAATTGTTCAAATCTACTCTTTAGTGAAGAAAGAGCTTGATTAACTATGTATATAAAGTAATTAACTCTAAACGATTCTTCGGCTAATTGTGTCATCTCTTCATTAGCACTCTCGTCAAATTGTTTCTTTCTACGAATGACACGTCTTTCACGGAATAATGGTTCAACTTCCATTTCAGTTGCAATCTCTTTAGCCTCAATCGTAGCAGATTTAAATCAATTTTCTCTATAAGTTTCAAAAAATGAAATGAGTCATTTTAAGAGATCTATAGCAACATCAATTTGCATGTCCTCTGTTTGCATGATTTTGCTTATTTTGTTAATAACATTCAATATATCAAACCAAATAACTATGCCAAGTAAGAACTCAAAATTCTCAATTTCATATGTAGCTAAGTGATGAACGCTGAAAAGTGCGTATTTAAACTCCTTAAGCTTAGGCATTCTAGTACCTTTATCTATCTTACTTTACCGTTTTAGATTGATTTCGTATTATTTCCATTTTCAGGCACTTATCCCGAAAATAAGCTAACTCAGCCAAATAAGAGCTTAATTGAAGCAATTCTGGGATTAAACAAGGAAATGAGCAAAGTGGAGAAAGAAAGAAGCAAAGCCAAAGGTGGAAAGCAGCAAAGTTCGATCGATCCAAGTTCAAGGTTCGATCGATCGAACAATAATCGATCTCAGCACTTTAAGATAGATTCAAGCCTTGGCCCAAAAGCATAAAGTCCAAAAGTTCGATCGATCCAACACCACCCTTCGATCGATCGAACACTTTTGTCCTTATTCAAATGATTGATCCTATCCACAGCTGTACCACCCACTAACCACTTTTGTCCTTTTCCCAAAAATATCTCTCAAAATATCTCGGATTTGTCTTTTCCCAAAAAGCTCAACTAGTTGGATCGATCCAGCCTAAGTTCGATGGATCTCAGCCAATTCGATCGATCCAAGTCCAAGGTTCGATCGATCGAACTTCCTCCAGTGTGAAAAAGTTAAATTTCCATCTCATTGAAAGTTGTCATTTATCCAATCATTAGAGAATATTGTGTGCACGACCCCAGCTCATTTTGGGTATCATTTTGACCTACCTATATAAGGATAATGATTGCTTTTTACAAAAAGGAGCTAATAGACTATTCTAGGGTTTAATCTCTTGGAGGGGAAGCTCAGAAGAGAAGGAGGCTAGAGACACCATTGGAGACTCTTCATCAACAAGGAGCATATTTCAACCATGGAGTTAGCCCTTGAGGGTTGGAGCAACATCACCATGAGTGGCTAGATATCCTCTTGGGGCTAGAGTTAGCCCCAAACATGCTTTCTTTATCTTAAAATTTGACGGTTAAAAGCCGTTCCTACAAACCAAATTGATGTAGTGAATGTGCAGTTCAAGAAAAGCCTTTTAGGTCAAGTTTAAATTTATAAAAACCACAACCATCACTACTACTAACGTAGCAAGAGTGAGTAGGGATCGTCCCAAGGGATTGTGAGGATCGAGCAAGGTCGTGGAATCGCTATTAGGGCTAGTAGGTCGAGTGATCAAACAATTGGTTGGTTGGTTGATTAGATAACAACTAAATTAAACTAAGTGATAACAAAAGAATGCAATTTGGAGTAAGTAAGAGAGAGAGAGATCTTAGGGTTTAGAGATCACCACCAAGCAATGCATTTCTATATCATTGACAAGTGATTAATGAGGGCAAATGGTGTGTTGCAATATTGGTGTGTGTGTGTTTGGTTGATTCAACAAGCAAGGATGACTAGTTAAGCATGTATTGTCTAAACATCATGTAAAGGGAACAATATATCTAAGCAATGAAGCATATATTGTCTAAACAACATGTGAAAGGCACAATAGACAAAAACAATTCATTAATCCTTTCATTAAGCTCACAATCCAAATACAACACAAGGATAGAGACATATGTTACTTGCATTCAAAAGCTTGGATCATCAAACAACAAGCATAGATTGTCCTCCCATTTAACACTACACTACAACTACACTACATCTACACTACTAGCATGAAAATAAACTAGGGGAGAGGCACAATCCATCAAGGAATAAGTATAAACCATCAAGAGAATCACAAGAGTATTCCTTTAAGCACTATGTTTTGACAATCTCCAAATCTATAGCATCAATACACATAGACATGAATCCATAACACAAAATCTAGAGACAAGCACATGAACATCTATTCTAGCATACATAGACATA